TCTGTTAGTGAAGGATTGTTTTGCAAAACCAGCTTCTGCTTCTTCAGGGATAAATTCCCACAAACATTGTTCCTTTTTGATATAATGATATATAAGCATTTTATAACATGGATTTGGATCTGCATGTGTGTGCACAATCCAGATAATAGAATGTTTTTCCATACATAGTACATTTTTCCATACAGACTACATCAGTCGTACACGTCTGTCCAATGGAGGTTTAAAGTTGGCTGCAGCCATGTTTTAAAAATACATGTCACAATTTCCCTGAGACAGTCATCAATTCCTTCTGCGGTTATGGATGCATCTGTTTAAGATATGCAAGTATTCAGTTCCTGAAATGTGGACTTCTTCTTTCTGATCTTCCCTCACTTAGACAAACGTGGCCACTGGAGTGTGAAAAGGGGTGTTTGGCTTATGTGTTTACATGAGTGTCAGTGTACTCGCTTGACTCTTGGAGGGTTTCAGGTATTCTACTGCATCTGTGTTTGCCACAAATATGGATGAAATTGTGACACCCACATACAATTACTGGGTAAGAGGATTTTCTATAATATATTTATTAGACAGACTCTGAGATTTCTTTAACAAAAGCAAGTAAACCATCATTGTAGATGATTGCTAATCAGTTGATATTACAATATCTAGCACAAACATGAATGATCTCCCACTGGTGCTTTTTAATCAGTGCTAATACTGAAATAGGACATTTCAATGTCAGAAGGTTCCCTTGAGTAAATTAGGAGCTTAACAAAATGTTTGTGAAATTCTGAAATGGGTGGAAACCCATTAATGAAGAAATCTTTTTTGTGAATAACTCATTTCTTTCAAGCATTTGATTGAACTCTGTTTGTCTGTTTTTAAGGACTTCAATGATTATTATGAGGAAAATGGCACCACAGAAATCGGGACAAGCAGGATTCACGTAGCCCCGTGCATACGAGAGGACATTTATGGGTTTGCACAAAGATACACTCCTGTTGTGTATAGCCTGGTGTTCCTCCTGGCTGTTGTGGGCAACGTGCTGGTGCTCTGTGTGATCCGACGCTACCGCAACTCTCAGAGGGGTGGAGCCTGTGCTTTCTCTCTGACCGACACCTTCCTCCTTCACCTGGCCATTTCTGACCTCCTGCTGGCCTTCACCCTGCCCCTGTTTGCAGTGCAGTGGGCTCATGAGTGGGTGTTTGGTTTGGCTGCT